TGGACTTGCTCTTTCCTTCACTCCTGTTGTTCTCATCCTCCTCAATATGAGTTCTAAATGAAGTCTCTCCTCAGTGCAGAGCTTTGTTCTGAAAGTGATCTTCAGTCAGTTTCAAGAGTTTTGACTCAGACAGCCACAGCATCATCAAACCTAATGATGGCCTCCTTGCAGTTACCTATGAATTGAGTCCTGTAAAGCCTCCTCAAAGAATCAGTTGTTCCTCTCAGAATACACCACAGAGCTTTCCAGTGAGTATCATTGATGATTTGGGGGTTCTCCACCACTCAAGTCCATCATAAGTCTCAATTCCTTCTCTCTGCTTCTTGCAAAGTTTTAGTGATACCACACAAGTCTTTTTGCTATCAGAGTTTCATCCCCACATACACATGCATTAGGGTGTATGTTTTGTTGCTTTGTTGTAGATTTCATCTGTGCAGTTTTGGTTTTGCTACTCTGCCTATGTTCATTAGAGGATTCAGGGATAGTCATAAGCTATATTGCCATTGTTACCATCTTCCCAGAATTCTTATTTCCGTAATTTCTTATGGAATAGAACTTGAAATAATTGTCATTTTCCTTCTATAAAGATTATATCTTTTCATACATCTCTAGGGCAGCTAAGGAATAATAAAAGCTTAGAAGATAATAAACATTTAAATAAGACATGCTTTCCACCAGTACCTGCAAGGGCTGTGAGCTAATTTTCTAAATGTAATTTTTAGCATTGTAGGTACTAAGATATGCATGCTGTAAAGGTACAATGCATGCTATTGATACTAAATTCTTTAGTTCTCTGTATGCTCATTCTTTTCAATTGCTTTAGGTTTTCTCTAACTTTGCCAGCTCACCATTTTGTCACAGAACAGCAATTTCTTCTAGTATATAATGTGTAATAGTCTATTCAATCATTGGTAACAGTTTTCCATCAATATAATAGATGTTCCAGATTTATTGTATGATTAAATGAGTTCCTGAATATAATATACTTAGGAGAGTTAGCAGAAGTTATACCTCATATATGGTAAATACTACACAAACATTAGCTACTATGACTACAATTGTGTTTATCATTTGTATTGTTTTTACCAAGGGCATACATATTCTGTCCCTTCCCCACTTGACCTTCTATCATAGTTTTGAATAAGAGAGTGCATTGTGTGTTACACAGAATATTACTTCTGCAGCCTATTAGGAGGCATTGCATACCAAATGTGTTCTATTGTCAAAAAAAAAAAAAAAAAAAGAAAAAGAAAAACTCTAGATTAGAGGAAGGTAGGATTTCAGCAGCCCACTAGAGTTCTCAAACAGTGAATCTAAAGCACTTCTTCTCTGTCACTATGCTTATCCCACTCTCTTCCTTTCTCCTCCTCCCCCACCATGCTGCCCCGAGAATTATCAGCACTTGAAATTTACTCTCCGATATAGCACACCCAAGCATAGCATTCACCTCAGATGCAAATTCACACACAATGCTTTTTGCCTCAAAGGAAACAATGGATAGACGGACACAAAAGCAGATTTCTGAGTGGAGTTGTTTCTTAAAAAAATAGAATTTGACTGGTCATGATGGCTCACACCTGTAATCCCAGCACTTTGGGAGGCCAAGACGGCCGGATAGCCTGAACTCAGAAGTTCGAGACCCCTCTGGGCAACATGGTGAAATCCCGTCTCTACTAAAATACAAAAAAAAAAAAAAAAATTAGCGAGGCATGGTGGCACTTGCCTGTAGTTCCAGCTAATTGGGAGGCTGAGACACGAGAATCACTTGAGCCCTGGAGGCAGAAGTTGCAGTGAGCCGAGATTGTGCCACTGCACTCCAGCTACAGAGTAAGACTCCGTCTCAAAAAAATAAAAATAAAAATAAAAATAGAATTCACTTGTACCAATGTCTGTAATTTACTTTAAGACATTCCATATAATCAACGTACTATGATGTTTGACCAGTTAAAGCTTTAATTCTAAGGATGGTTAGCTGACATGATATTAAGAATGCATAGTTCATGGGTGGTCACCTATATTACATCAGAAAAGACCATGCTCTGAAGAATGTATACAAGTCCTTCAGATACCAGTACCTCAATCGACAAGCTTTGCTAATTAGCATCCCGAATGCTTTAAAAAAATGGGTTTTATTCATTAAACTAGTGACTAGCATGATGAATACTAAACTTGGCTTCAATGGTGACATTAGAAATACCAAGACAGGGAAATGGGCCAAAACAGTTTAGAAACACTATTGAATGAATACAGTCTGAAAATCCAACAAATTCTGTGCTTTGAATGATTAGGAATGATGCTTGATTTCAATCATTGGTTTAAGAGGATTTCTGATTTCATGGTGCCTATTGTAGGTTACAAAATCCTGACTCGAATATCACATCTGCTTGGAGTCAATCTTTCATATGAAATGTGGTTAGCAGCCAAAAAGAAAAGAGAGCTTAGACTTTACCAGACCTACAAACTATATGAACTATTTTGTACCCATTTGCTAATGAAAGGCAGTAAAATAAGTGCATGGGGGCAGAATCTCTTCTGAGATGTGTATTTTTACAGTTTAGTAGGATGTCTGTGGGGGAGCAGGTAATCCTAGCCACCTCAAATTTCTTTGGTAGCTACTGCTACCTACCAAAAAAGAAAATAAACAAGTAGGACAAAACACTAAGAGTTGTGCATTAATCAAAGTATCACTTTTAGAAATGGTTAATTGCCTGTCATTCAAGGAATTCAAGAAGACACCAAATCTTGGCAGAGTTTAGATCACTAGAAGGATATCGGCCGGAGAGTTGCCAAAGTGCCTTTTAAAAATAAAATGGACATTACCTTTTAGAGCCGTTTTAGATTTACAGAGTAATTGAACGATAGTACAGAGAATTCCCATATAGCCCACACCCAGTATCATAGTCCATTTTGTGCTGCTGTCACAGAATAGCTGAGACTGAGTAATTTATAAACAACATTTGGCAAAGGCCTTTTTGCTGCTTCATCACCAACAGATGGTGAGAAGGTGAGAGAGGGAGGGTGAGAGAGAGAGAGACCAAACATACCCTTTTATCACAAACCCACTCCCTCAATAACAAATAAATCCATTCGTGAGGGCAGATCCTTATGGCCTAATCACCTCTCATTAGGCCCTACCTCCCAATACTGTTGGATTGAAAATTAAGTTTCCAACATGTGCTTTTTGGGGGATGCATTCAAACCATAGCACCCCGTTTCCCCTAGTGTTAACATTTTACATTAGCATGATACCTTGATTACAATTAATGAGCCAATATTAATATAGTATTATTACCCAAAGCCCATAGTTTATTTAGACTTCCTTAGTTTTTATCTACTGCCCTTCGCCTGCACCAACATCCCAAACAGAATACCACATTACATTGAGTTATCTTGCCTCTTTGACTCCTCTTTGCTATGGCAGTTTCTGAGAGACTTCCCTTGGTTTTGATGACCTTGACAGTATTGAGGACTGCTCGTGAGTTATTTTGTACAATACGCCTCTACTGAAATTTTTATATTGTTTTTCTCAAGGTTAGTCTGGGGTTACGGGTTATTAGGAGGGAGTCCCCAGAAGTAAAAATTTTCATCCCATGATACCAAGGGTACATACTGTCAACATGCTTTATAACTGTCAACATCGGCCTCAACCACCTGACTGTCATAGTCTGACAGGTTTCTTCATTGTAAAAATTACTCTTCCTTCCCCTTCCCTCATTTCCATACTGTACACTTTGGAAGGAAGTCACTACATTCAACCGAGAGCTAAGGAATGGAAGTTATACTACCCTCTTCGAGTAGGGGGAGTATCTACATAAATTATTTAGAATTATTCTCCATGAGACCACAGCACATTTTAACTTGTGCTTTTATAATCTCATGAGCTAGCTTAGGAACCCCATCACCTCCATACATATTCTTCCTGTTTTAAAATGATTTGCAATATTTTCTAATTTTCCTAAGTACTTTTCAGCACAAATCTAGATTTTGTATTTCACCAATTATCTCAACTGTCAGAAAATATATTACAAGGTCAAAGAAATGTCTAACATTTTAACATGCTTAAATGTTCTATTAGTGATTTCTTGAGTTTGCAAACAGCATCATTGCTAAAACATATACAAGGAGTACCCCCTAAAGGCAATTCGATTCTGGGGAAAACAATTCTGTAACACACTTACTTGCTACTGCAAAGCAATAGAAGCCATTTAAAAATATAAAAATAGAAAGAAATTAGCAAGTAGTATTTTCTTTTGTTTTTAGTTTAGGAATAAGAATTTAACTATGATAACTCTGTACATTTTCAGTACTTAAGAAGACAATAAACTACTCATTTGGAGGCAGAAACCCAGTATTGAACCCTAGAGACACAATCCCGTACAATAACGGGATGTTCTATAAATATCTCTTCCTTCTTGCAACTACTGTGAGATGAAGGCTCTCCATGAGAGCAGTATGGGGGAGGTCAAATGTCAAAAGTCCAATCACGAATTCCCAAGGGAGAAGACAAGATCCCGTAGGGTTAGGAGTTTCCAGATGTTTGTTTCATGCCAAAATGACGCCAGAAGCAATGGAAGGAAGTCTGAAAAAGCAAAAGAATGCTCTTTTCAGAGAAATTATTATTTTGGACCTGAACATTAAATGTTCCCATTCCTTACTATGCAGCCATAAGAAGGAAGGAGATCATGTCCTTTGTAGGGACATGGATGGAGTTGGAAGCCATTATCCTCAGTAAACTAATGCAGAAACAGAAAATCAAACACTGCATGTTCTCACTTATAAGTGGGAGCTGAACAATGAGAACACATGGACACATGGCAGGGTTGGAGGACAACACACACTAGGACCTGTCAGGGGGAAGTAAGTCAGGAAAGCATCAGAAAGGAGAGCTAATGGGTGCTGGGCTTAATACTTAGGTGATTGGTTGATCTGTGCACCAAACCACCATGGCACACGTTTACCTATGTAACAAACCTGCGTGTCCTACGCATGTACCCTGGAACTTAAAATAAAAGTTGAAGAAAAAAAAGTTCCCATTTCTCTGGAGAAGAGGCTAAAATAAAGTTAAAATAATTCTTTACATTTATAGTCATGCACAGATCAGGCATACTAGCAGGCAGGGGGGAGTTGGATAAATCTAGGATAAAAAAAGATAGTTGCTGTGCTTTCCTTCACCATTGATTTAAGCACTTCTCGTCACCCTCTCTTCTAAAGTGAAGATAGAACAAACATTTGTAAAATAAATATTGAACACCCTAGCCAAAAATGTAAAAATTATGGTGTATTTGAACAATACTCAACTGTGTGTGTGTGTGTGTGTGTGTGTGTGTGTGTGTTGGCAGTAAGTCTTTGCTATCTGCTTTAAGTTCAGGTATGGCAGTCATGGTATTATAGTATCTTTATTTGTTAGCACTTTACAATTGGAAAACTTTTGACATTTATATATGTACATTCTTATCCCTATGGATCATAAAAGGATATTATTATTATTTTCCTTTCACAGATGAGAAGACCTGCTCACTGAGTCGAAGTGACTGGCTCAAGGTTTCAGAATTGGAACCCCAGCTGAAAAGGAACCCAGCTCTTTGAACTTCTGCCCCTGTAACTTTGCTACTATTCTGTCCTGTTTTTCTTGATATTAGAATAAACTGAGCTTCTCCCAGGCAAAAAACTGAGCTTATCCCAGGCAAAAAGTATGATCTTTATATGCTGAGATGCTGAACCTAGTTTATTAAAAGATGAATGGATATATTTATATGTATTATGTACACACACACACGACACACACACACATCTTCCTTTAATGTATTATAAAATCTGCTTCCCAAAAACTATTAAAAATCATTGCCTTGGCCAGGCACAGTGGCTCACGCCTGTAATCCCAGCACTTTAGGAGGCTGAGGCAGTCGGATCACAAGGTCAGGAGTTCAAGATCAGCCTGGACAACATGGCGAAACCCTGTCTCTACTAAAAATACAAAAATTAGCCAGACGTAGTGGCGGGCACCTGTAATCTCAGCTACTCAGGAGGCTGAGGCAGGAGAATTGCTTGAAACCGGAAGGCGGAGGTTGCAGTGAGCCAAGATCGCACCACTGCACTCCAGCCTGGGTGAAAGAGCAAAACTCTGTCTCAAAAAAAAAATAATAATAATTGCCTCTTCTTTATACCATCCCAATTTTGACAATGTTTACTTTAACTTATATTAAGAAAATTAAAGTTGTTATTTATTTTCAAATATAAATAATATAATGTTGAAAATACTTTTTGAAAGACACACTAGATTCCCATCCTCATTTAATGTTATGACTTTTTGGAGGATGCTAAACTTCCTTTTCATTATTTCTACCAATGCACATAAGTTTCCTTCTCCTGGCTAAGGAAAAATAAAATTAGAAGTAGAGGCCACTTATCTGAATATGTACCTGGCATTTGTATTTAGTCTGAGACATTAAAAATAATGCCAAGAAATAAAAAATATTGCAAACTTTTATTAAGGCTGATGAAAAGATCCTTAATCCACACACTTGCCTTCCAAAATATCTAGAGTAAGAAATGTTTGTAACATGCAAAATGATGTTGGAAATTGAAGTCATTTTCCAGATAATTTAAATTCAAAGGCTTCCTTTCCCTCATTTTGTTGTAGCATTTTGGCCCAAATTAGCCAGGTGTTTTGCCTTCATTCTGCACCTGATTTTGGAACCTGAAGAGCTCCTACCTCTGGAAGTGATGATGCACGTTGACACTGCACTAAGAACCACATTTCTGACTAAATCTACACAGACTTGCATAGCATAGTTCCCTCCCTGAAAAGAACAATCTGTCAGTCTCTCCAGCTTTCTAACCCAGTCATCAGAGAACTTCAAGGGGAAAAATACCTATTAGATCATCTTGTCCCTAAACTTACAAGCATGAGAACACTTCCTATGGCCTATTCGCTGGTACTTTGTCTGACCTTACATGACTCAAACAGCAGACTTCATCTTGTCCTTGGGGACTCTGTTCTACAGCTTAATATACTTCACTGTCAACATTTGCTGTGCACTGCTGACATTTTTCAGCATTTCTCATCCTGACTTTCTGTCCTACTCCCTGATCATTTTTACATTTTCATTGTCCTCAGAGAGAAAATAATAGCAGCTAACAATCAATGAACACTTGCTATGGAGCTAGCATTTTCAAAGTGCTTTAAATAAATTAATGTCTTTCATTTTCATAACAACTGTATTGGGTGGGTGAGTACAATCATTATACCCATTTTAAAGATAGTGAAGTTGAGACACAGGAGGATTAAGGCAGTACAACGGGCAAGAGACTGAGTCAGGACTTGGAGTCCAGAGCCCAGCTCCAGAGAGTGTGCTGTAACCACCATTCTGAACTGCTCCAGCAGTCACCATTGTCTATTTGGCTCATGTGAACCCCAAAGGTGTAGGTTTCCTCATAAATGAATTATTTTACCATCTTCTGTTGCAGGGAAGCTGAGGATCACCCTACAATTCATTCTACTATCCAGTAATTAAAAGACTGGTCTCGTTAACTGAATCCTCTTTATCCATGCCGTAAGTTTAAAATCTGGTCTTCTGAGCACAATTTTCAGAAAGAGCACTTTAAAAACAATAATAACAAAATAATTTTATTTCTTTATCCGAATTCCTCAAGAAAATGACCTGATCACTTGGCCACTGTGATTGTTTTACCAAAGCCTATTAAGGCCAAAAGAGATCTTTAGTTTTCATACTAAGCCTTATTTTTAATAATTTTATTTCAAATTAATTTTATTTCAGTGGTCTCCATTATCTCTCATTCCTAGTTTCTCATATTAATAATAATAATAGCTATCATCAAGTGAAACTTAACAATAATCCAGGCATCTTTCCAAATGTTTTTCAGGGATTTTAAACTCTACCTATAAGGTAGCTACTATTATCACAAAAATATGCAGTTATATCTATAAACTGAGGCACAGAAGGGTCAAACAACCTGTCAAGCAACCTGACACAGCTAGTAAGAGGCAGACCATTATCTTCGGTATTAATAATTGGGATTCCACCGTCATGCTTCTCACTAACTCTATTTTCTGAAGTAGAGATAGTAGGACTCACCAAAAGTTCCACATGCTCCTCTGTACTTCTCAGGTGCCTTGCAGTAGGCAGGGCTATGTGACTGGTTCTGATCAATAACATATGAGTGAAAGTGATATGTGAAAATAAGCACTGTTGTGCCAAAGCAGCCGTGGGTTGAGATGGTGACATCCTATGTTGGAGGGAGCCTAGATCCCAGAGTCTCTGCCTAGAAGAGAATTGCTCTAGAAGGTTGCCTGACCTGCACTGGACTTTGTGTAGCAAGAAATTAGCTTTTATTGTATTAAACCATGGAATGTAGACATTTATCTTATTAGTGTTAAGTGAGGTATATCAGCTGTATATTATACACTGTACATTGACTCTTAATACATTGATCTTCTTCCTCCTATTTCCCTGCTAGCTATAATCATATATCTGGACTTTTGATGACCATAATCTAATTTCATTAGGAAGGAAGTGATGTAAAGGATTTCTAAATTTACCAGTAATCAACAGGACCACTGATTTCATGCAAATGGAAGAAAATTTTTTAAATATTGGTCTTATACTTGGACAGTAATACTTCTAGGGATAATTAATCCCTAACTCTTGTTAATATTATTTTATCAACCAACTCATAAAAACCTTTAAAAATTAACACATCATGTTCAAAATTTCAATATACTTATTCAACAATCATGGTTTAAGCACTGACCATAGGCAAAAATGAATGAACTTATTAGCACTTATTTGAACTTAGTCAAAACAGAAAGAACAGTCAAGGACAGAGGAAAACAGGGGGTAGAATTTTGCTTAACTGAATTACAGAGTGCAAAAAGTACTGTAAAGCCAAATAGAGAGGTGCTTGCATGTAGACTAGGGAATTTGGACCTTTTCCTATAAAGAGTGAAGGTTTTTGAGTAGGAGAGTATAAGAGTCATGCTTCAAGAAAAGCCCTAATCCGACAGTTAAGCGTAAAATGAATCAGGCAGAAAGACTGGAGGCAAAGAGCACAGTGATTGACAGTCTGAGATCAGGGACAGCGGAGTGGTGAGAGGAGGAGAGGGCTTGGAGAAATATTACAGAATAAAATCAACAGGGTTTCCGTGTACATTTGGACTTGGGTAACAGAGTGAAAGACAAGAAGCAAAGAGATTTTCCTTTGAGATTTAGAACCTGGAAAACTGACAGGACGTTGGTTCCATGAATACACAAAGGAAACACATGTGTATTCCACGAATACACAACGGAAGCAAACAGGAAAGAAAAAAATCACGTATTCAGCTTTATCAAGTTATTTGATGTATATTTTAACACTGTGTCTCTCCAGAAAATTAAAAAGCTTCTTTCAGAGATGTCAGAGATGTTGTGTGTAACGATTTTCTCTCTTCCTGGAATTCTCCTTATCAATTCTGCTCTGAAAAGTCCTTTCATCAGGAAAGGCCTAACTCCAATGACAATTCCTCCTCTGCAAGCCCTTTCCTCCCCAGTACTCACTGTCAGGACCCCTCCTATTGGCTCGTAACCATATATACACCACTCTTTAATATTATGTTATTAACCAACTCATAAAAACCTTCAAAAACTTAGCACGTCATGTTCAAAACTTCAGTATACTTATTCAACAATCATGGTTTAAGCACGGACCATAGGCAATAATGAATGAACTTATTAGCACTGCTTTGAACTGAACTGAATGAACTTATTAGCACTAATATGTTCTGTTTTGAACTTAGTCGAAACAGAAAGAACAGTCAAGGACAGAGGAAAACATGGGGTAGAATTTTGCTTAACTGAATTACAGAGTGCAATTAGATTGCAAGTCTCTAGAAAACAGAAAGATGTATGCTTCCCTGTGTGCTTTGGCATCATCACAACTGTATAATGAATCCGTTCATTAGGAGAGAGCTAGCCTGTTGCTATATGGGGAAGGGGTTGCTTATTATTCATATGTTTGTACTATGGCATTCTCACGCTTGTTAAAATACACACTCAATATTTGACAAATATGAAAGTTTAAGCACTGTTAGCATAATTCTACCATATGTAATTTGCTCCAATTATTGGAAAATACCATGAGAAGAAATGTAAAAGGTTAATACAAAACAGATGGCCTCTCCCTTGTTGACCAAGATGCCGCCATGAACCCTACTCATGTATTTCAACAACTAAGAGTAAGGAATGGCCATCAAACACTAGGTTTTACAGATTGCAACACAGACACACTCAGAGAGAACTTTCTTTGAAGCTTCAGCAGTACCAGAAATAAAACTTCTCTGCTTCTCACACCCAGATTTGTAGTCCCTTCCTTCTGAATTTTCTAAAATGCGTGCATTACCCAAGAGATCATATGAAGCATATCTCGTGCAATCTGAAACTTGAGGTAGATAAATTTATCTTCCCTCCCCTCAGCTATAAAACTGAAATGCAAAAGTGAAATAGGCAATCTGAATAAGTATTAAAAGCAAAGTTGCTTTAGGATCCAATGCCAATTTTTCTCTGAGACAGGGCTCAGATTCACCACTTCTTTCCCAAACCATCAGGCTCAGAGCCCATTTTTAAATTCACTCAGAGGAGCCAAAGGGTTAAGAGATGATCCAGAAAGCATAATATGGCATGTCAAATCACTCTATTTCCAATTGAAATGCAGTGTTTATTATTTAGACTTCCCCTTTCCCTTCCTGCCCTCCTTCCCCCAAGCAGAAAGGCACTCCTTTTTTTTTATTAAAAAAGAAATACATTCTGATCTTAATTTAATCATGCAACTAGCATGAAAATGAATTCAATGAATAAAATTGTCACGAGGGGTAAATGATAGGATTCTCTCTTAGCCAAGTGTTCTGCCTAAAATTAGACTGCCTTTCACGATTTACTGCTGTTATTAAGTGAACGTCCTTTTGACAATAAAGTAGTGCTTCTTGGATAGAGAGTGCTCTGGAGCCCAAGCTAAAGTACTCAGTGATGGACGACTTTGATGGGCTCCAGGGACCTCACCATTTCAATGCTATAGCCTGTTCTTTGTTCACCAGATGAAGACACTCAAG